TACTATAGCTACTCTAGATCACGCTGATTGGGCTGCGATACAATGATACGACGCCAACACTGCCCTTTGAGTTCCGGGTAACGAGGTCCGGCCACAGCTCAAAGATCTTTACCTCTTGACTTTTGTGTCCCTGTTATATATGAGCCCCATGGAATCGTTTTAGTAAGTTTGATGTTGATTTCATCTTCACTATGTCTGTTCTCGACAACTCTGTCTTACCACCTGACACTTCAGGTTCCCATGGCCAGGCTCCTTCCGAGTCTGACTTTGTCTTGCCATTCGCGAACACTTCCTCAGCTCAGGTCGCGAGCGTCAACGCAGGACAGGCTGATGCGCTCCCTCCTTTGCCTGTTCCCGACAACTCTGCCTTACCACCTAGCACTCCAGGTTCCTGTGGCCAGGCTCCTTCTGAGTCTGACTTCGTCTTGCTGTCCGCGAACACTTCCTCAGCTCAGGTCGCGAATGTCAACGCAGGACAGGCTGGTGCGCTCCCTCCTCCTGTCTCTCTCCCTCCTTCCCATGTTCCCTCAAAAAGACCGCAAGGTGAACAAGAAAATGAAGACCGACCTGCTCGTAAGGTTCGGATAATTTACAGAGACTCGAGCTCTGTGCAGGTCACACCTCAAAGGGAAGCCACACCGTCGCCACTGGTACCATCGTTAACACCAACTCCCGTGCCACAAGCTCAAACTGCCACTACTTCATCATCGCAAACGGTGATACAGCTTACCAGACCTATCTCTCAAGTAAGCACTTTGTTCATATCGATTTTGGAAGATTAATTGACCGTAAAACATAAAGGAGGGTCCCCGCAAATTACCTGGCTCAGCATTCCAATGCCCAACACCACACACCGTGGATCCATCCCCTCAAGTTCATGCTTCAGTAGATCGACGCTCTCAAGAAGCTAACCTATTGGCAACATTAAGTGCATATGTGAGTGTCGAGTTATGTTTGTTTTAAAGAATAGCTCTCACAAACCCCTACCTCAAGAATCAAGGTTTTGCCCACTCGTCACGCGCATCCTCCACACAGGCAGTCGTGAATAATCGACCCAGTGTCAGAACAGATCTGAACCAACATTATTCCTGTTCGCAAACCCCAACGCAAACCCCTCCCAGCGCTTTACCAGGGACAATGCAACACTCACGCAGCCCTTTTCCAGGGACAAGTGTAGACCCAAACCAGCATGTTTCCTACTTGCAAACACCAACGCAGCCCCCTCCCAGCGCTTTGCCAGGGACAATGCAACACTCACGCAGCCCTTTTCCAGGGACAAGTGTAGACCCGAACCAGCATATTTCCTACTCGCAAACACCAATGCAGCCCCCTCCCAGCGTTTTGCCAGGGACAAGTACAAACCAAAACCAACATTATTCCTACTCGCAAACCCCAACGCAAACCCCTCCCAGCGCTTTACCAGGGACAATGCAACACACATGCAGCGCCCCCCCAGGGACAAGTATAGACCCGAACCAGCATGTTTCCTACTCACAAACACCAATGCAGCTTCCTCCCAGTGCTTTTCTAGGGACAAGCACAAACCAAAACCAACATTATCCCTACTCGCAAACCCCAACGCAACCCCCTCCCAGCGCTTTACCAGGGACAAACATGTACCAAAACCAATCTTTTCCCTACTCAATGGGTGTAGATCAAAATCAGCCTTTTTTCTACTCGCCATCACAAATGCAGGCCGGGGTGGGGCACTTTTTCAAGCACAACCATAGGACAAGGTCAAGCTGATCTCTACTTGAGCACCAATCACAGTGCTACGCAATCACAAACACCACCTCATGGTTCTCTTCCTGGCATGAGCTATGCTCAAAGCCATCTACTAGCTACTACTATGGTAAGCACAGTCGTTAGCATATCTTTTGGATTGTAATACGATGCGTATGCTTGAACCACTTTTTAGTCATCCGTAGAACATGCTCAACATGCTCGAACACAAAGCGGACGTGGGGGTGAACCCACCCATCAGAGTAGTTTCGCCACCATAAGGGCAATTGAACAGCAAGCTGATACGAACATGGAGGTGGGATGTACCGTTTGTGAGTGGTGGATTACATTTCCTTGACAATGACTTCCCTTCTAACTTTTGCGTAATCGGGAAAGCAAAACCAACCAAACTCGGGCTACATGGGCCATGGGTCTTGATGGACTCAACCACGTCTCAATCAGTTCGAGAAGACATGAACGT